TATAAAATTTTACAACTGATCCTTAAAGGCAAAATAAAGGGGCCGTGGAGGTGTAGGAAGAAAACAAGTTTCTTGGTTAAAAAACATTCGTGAATGGACTCAGATACCAAATGCAGGATAATTATTTCATATTGCAGAAGATCGAGAAGCCTTCGCAATGGTGATCGCCAACGTCGGATAATTCTGATATGGCACGCGAAGAAGAAGAACTCTTTGAAAAGTTGACTTTAAAGAAACTAGGGAGAACTCTCTGTTTTAAAACAAATAACAGGCTGCGCGAGAGAGACCCTTCCTCTTGTAAACTATTTAATCTGTCCCTAAAAAAGTAATAGTTCTTCTTCTTATTTTTTTATGTAGACATGACATTCTTTGTTTTTCAATGTGCCTTCAATATGTTGTCGTTCCATCGTTTATGTGGTCTTCCTACTGATCGTCTTCTTATTGGGGAACCGTTTTTTGCCATCTTCACTACTCTATTTGTTGACATTCGGCTTGTATGATCGTTCAATTCTACTTTTCTATTTGTTACCCAGTTCTTGATGTTTTTCACCTTCACTGTCCCATAGTGTTTTATTATCAAGTTTTGTTAGTGTTTTCATCTCCGCTGTTTCTAACATCATTTTTGTCCTCTCTGTGTCAAATTGAGTTTCTGCTGTGTACGTTAGTATTGGTCTAACGACTGTTTTCTAAATTCTGTCGTTCATTTCTTTCCCGATATTTTATTTCCCCATATTATTTATTTCAGGCAACCTGCAACTTTGTTTACTCTATTAACTTGATCTTCCACTATTATTTCGAACTTTCCGTATATATATATATATATATATATATATATATATATATATATATATATATATATATATATATATGTGATGTCTAGATATTTAAACTACATCACTTGTTCTGTTATCTAACGTTAATCTGCATAGCAGAATATTTTAAGCTGTTTTCTCCCCTTTAGTATTCTTTTTTAGTTCTTACTTTTTTTATTTCATCCGTAATCAGATTAAATAATAGAGGACTCATGGAATCTCTCGGTCTTATCTTATTGTCAGGTTCAATAGGGTCAGTTAGTTCGTGTTTTACTTTTAGTTTTATTATGTTGTTTTGGCAAATATTTTCGATGGTTTTAATTACTTCTAGGACTATCTCTCTTGAGTACAATAAGTGAACAGCGCCCTTTAATTTGACCCGATCAAATTCTTTTTTAGCGTCCACGAAATAAAGGTATGCCAGTTTATTGTATTCTGTTGATTTCTCATACACTTGCCAATATAAATATAGCGTCGGTGCATGATTTGTCTGACCTAAACCCATGTTGTTTTTTTGATAGTGTTATAATTTCCTTCAATTTAGTTGTTATTACTTTGGTTGTTAATTTTAGTGTTGATTTTAATAATCTTATTCCTCTGTAATTTTCTGGGTCCGATTTATCTCCCTTTTTGAATAAGTTATTATTTTTATCAATAGTTTTAATAGTTTTAATCTAGTTTTAGTCAGATCTGGTTTTCCATACTTTGGGAGTTTGTTCGATATTCCGTCCTCTCCTAGGATTTTCTATTTTATAGTTTTCTTAATTCTTCCTTTATCTCTTATTTCTTGATATTTATTTCTTTGTTTATCGTTACCTCGACATGTTGATCGAGTTTCTAGTCTACCGATGTTTCTTTCTGAATGTGTTTTGTTTTTATTAGTTCGTTCACATCTTTTCTTTGTCGTCTAACCATTCTCTATATTTATTTTTGTGTTCCGTAGTCGTGCTAAATCTTTTTTCTGCCAGTGGTCCCTTTTTGGTTGGTTACCCAACCTATTCGTTTCATTTCTGAGTCGTTTATAGTAGTTGTATGCCGGTTCTGTTTGTTTTGTTCTGTATTGTAAAAAAGCTTTCTTCTTTGTTTCACATTTTGTCTTCTAAACCATTGTGTTTTCTTTTTCGATACGTTAGTATTTCTTACATTACTTTTTCCAAAGATTCTTCTGCTGCGTTAATTATATGATTTGTGAGTTTTTTTGTTCGGGAAAGGAAAACGCCGTACGAAAAGGGTACGTGGAACTATAAGAATCGGCTTCAAAAGTGGGTTTAATAATATACACCAACAACCACATATACTACGACCACTAGAAAATGACATCATCAAAGCAGTGAACGAATTTGTATACCTAGGAGTGTTCGTTAACACTGAACCTAATACTACCGCAGAGATTAACTACAGAAGTTGCACGACCAACAGATGGTATTCTAGGTTCAATCTCCTCTTTAAATCCTTAATTAATCCTGAACAAAACAATAATAAGCTCAGTCCTAACATATGATTCAGAGACAAGGACTCTAAGAAAAAGTAATGAAAACATATTAAGATGTTTCCAAATAAACGTACTAAGGCGAATTTATGGAGCAGTTAATAACAGTGGAGTGTAGAGAATTCGTCCAACTTTGTACTTTACACAACATACCAAAACCCATATATCGCACAATATATTAAAATAGGACGTCTGAGGTAAATAGGGTATGTTATAGGGAGTATGTATCGAAGAAAACAACACAGCTAAAAGAACGCTCTTTGATAGACCCATTGGTCAGAGGAGAATAAGAATAACTAGATCAAAGTTATTTGATAACGTCGATGAGGACATAAGAAATATGGAAATACGTGCTTGGCGGAGGAAAACTATGGATAGAACGACAGGAGAAAAATTCTTGAGGAGGCCAGGAACCACGTAGGGTTGTAAAGCCAGAATAACGATGATATTTTACGATTAAACAATATTTTCGAGACGTCATATGGCCTTGTAGGTTACAAATAACCCAAGCAAATAAAAGTTGAGTGCCACTGAAACTCCTAGGAATATGGAACAACGAAGAAATTTAAAGAATATTGAAAGATAATACAAAGAAATAAATAATCGATTTAAAAAAATAGGAAAATTCTAAATACATAGGAAAAAATTAAAACATATGGACATCTCAAACTGTGCGGAAGCAAAACAACTACTTGCCAAACATGAACTCCTACAAACTTCCAGCTTCTTCTTTGAGTACCGTGACCAAGTTTTAGGCTTCCATGACGATTTGCCGATATCGTTCTCGATCTTGAGCGGCATGTAATAATTCATCTGCTCATAAGCCAGTCCAGTGATGAAGGTTTCGGAGCCATGAGTATTTCTTCCTACCAATTCCTCTTTTTCCGTCGATCTTTCCGTTGAGTATCAACTGAATTATAATGTATCTGCTTCCTTTTATGATATGCCCCAGATATTTAGAGAACAGAGAATTCAGAGAACAATCTTCCATAAAAGACTAAAAGAAATAACAAACACCTTTAGGTAAAGAAACAGCTTAAAAATTAGAAAAGACAATAACATCATAACAGATCACAACGAACTATGAAATGTTTGGCAATCATATACACTGCACCTTTTTTTAACTCAAGATACTACAAATGAAAATGTAGATTTACTTGGACCACCAATATAAGAATTAGAAATGGAATATATGATCCCTGATTTACAAAAAACAACAAGAAGGTTGTAGGAACCGATAACGTAAACGCGCCAATAATTAAACTCAAGCTTCTGTTAAAGAGTTCTTTAAATTTTTTAATAAAAATTCTTTTTAATTTAGTTTAATTATAATTCTTAAATTAAAGACTTTTTATTAAAAGGTTCTGAAACTTTTTATTTGTGGCCGAAGAAGATATTTACAACCCAAAATTTTATTCTGAAATATTAGTTGTAGATAGCTTCTTATTTTATAAGTACCACAAAGACGGAAATAAAAATTCCATCCCTAATCAAATATGTTTGATTCGATGCTTAATAAAATAATACATAATTTAATATTATATCTATCACTAAAAATATAAAATTAGGCATATGCTATGACTTGATTATGTGATTCATATGGATACAGATAAATTATCGAGCGACAAAACTCACTGAAAATATTTAAATAAGAGATCCGATCTGTTAACTTTGGCAAGTAACCCAAATTGAAAGCTGCATATGAAATCATTTCAATTATTTGCAAGACCGGTATTTTTCGTAGGAATTATATGCTTTTCTAGCCCTTTATATCGCTGATTAATTCAGCAGACAATGGCATTTCTCCTGGGATTCGACTGATTTCGCCATATATACGTTATTGGAAAATCTCCAATCTGAAATTCGACGTATATAATAAAAGTTCCATACGAGAACGAAAATTGGATCTTACGTAGTGAAACGGATGAACTTTTTGCTAAGATATATTAATGCACTTGATCTTATTATCTGAAAACCACTTGTGGGTTTTTAACGAATAAAACGAAATAACATACGATTTTTGAAAGATATAATATTTACTTCAAAATATTTTTAATGTATTTTGTATTTGAATGAGACTTAGTGTTACAAGTATATGTAACTAGGCATTATATTCTTTTCTAGCTATTTATATGAAAAGTTTCAGTGATCTTGGTATGGTTTTTTAAAATGCTTTTTAAAGCTTGATTGCTTGTATGGGTTTACTGGATATTAATATGACGTTTATGATCTTATGCATGTACTCCCAAGTAGGTAATAAACTACTTGAGTATACTTTGACCTCCGCGGTTTCCACAGGTAACATAATATGTGACATTTGACATAGAACGTGAAATATTTCGTGACATTTAACATAAAACATAATATTTGATATAACAGTTCTATTTGATACAATACGTGACAAGAGTGATGTCATGGTGCCGGAACGCGCCGGAACGCCGTTCCGGCACTGGCTAAGAAAAAAAAATAAATAGAGAATTTGGGTTTTGTAAATAAAACACGGGTTATAGAAAACGCTCTGATACAGTACAACGATTCGTAGAGTTGATTTAACTTACTAGTCAAACATCTCAGGTAATTGTTAAAAAGTTTGTTAAGCTGTTTGAAAATGAGCAGATTTAATGATAATTACTTGAAAGAAAGTTTTATTTCGTTTGCAAGTGGGTAAAAAGTCCGGTGTAACTAAAAGATTGCTTGAGATGTACCCAAATATTATTGTTTGGCATTGCATGAATCATACATTAGAGCTAGCCTTAAGTGATGCAGTTGATGAAGTTTGGGCCGTAAATCATTTTCAAATATTTATGGGTAGAATATACTTTATTAACAGTAAATCACCGAAAAACCAACGTGAACTCTCCGAGTGTGCCTTAAAGCTGATACAACAACTACAAAAAATTGGAAAAGTTTTAGGAACTCGATGACTTGTAAGTTCTTATCGTGCAGTTTCGGCTGTGTGATATGGTTACTCTGCCATCAACAACCACTTTGAAAAGGTAAAGACAGACAAGAACGGAAGTTCTACTGAAAGATCTATGTACTGTGGTCTATCAAGGCCACTTTCGTCATTACAGTTTCTGGTAAATTTAGCCATTATGTATGACATTTTGGCGGAACTTTCAATGCTTTTTAGAGGCTGTGCAAAATAAAGAAACTACTGTTGTTTACAATGATAAATTGGAAAAAACTCTGAAAGAAAAGCCTGGGACCAAGAGCCTGTAGGCTTACATTGCTGAGAAGAACTATAATTTTAACAATGTCTCCATTACAAACAATCTAAAAATTGCGACCATCAACCACAAACAACTGATAACAAGTGTAATAAACAATTTAACTAGAAGAATGTTTACTACTAAATTCAGTTCATTTAACACCAAGCGTCTCGTCAAACTGTAGCAACAATATAATTCTCTTTTATCTGATTTAAAAGTACTGGAAACTGATCAGTACCCTACTGACAAATCCGTACGATATGGGGAAGAAGAAATTCAGAATCTTCGCAAAAGGTTTAAACTTAACAATACCAAAATAACAAACTGCTTTTGAGATTATGTCGGAGCTAATTCACCTTTAAGAGTACCAAAAGATCTCATTCCGATGTAGAGCTGTACTAACTGATCCCATGTAGTTCTTCAGAATGTGAACGAGGTTTTAGTCTCATGAACGAGATAATTACTGATTTGCGAACTAGACTCTTAACCACATATGTTTCAAGCCTTATGTTTATAAAACAACATGGACAAAGTATAAACGATGTAAAATTCCATAAAATGTGGAAGCCTATGTGACACCGCACAGCTGACGACACTAGAACACGCACGGCAAAACCTTTTCCGGAAGAAGAAAAATTCAGTTGTTCAGTTTTTGTAAATTGAATAACTTTTTATAAACTCAATTTCTGAAAGTTAAAGAAAATTATTGTTCAGATATTGTAATTTTGATTGATTGTATTTTCAACACCAGCTTCCTATTTCTGTGTGATATTGTCATATAAATAATAAAACTGGGTTATTATAATTGTGTGGTTTAATTTTACAATAAATGGTTACGTTTGTATCTCTTAAACATTTAAATTTGGCTATGCTTTCTTCTTCTTTTACAATTAAAATAAAATAAAAAAGCAACAATTGCAAAATTAATATATTTTTGAATTAAACAAATGCATATACATTTCAAAATATGCAGACATAACTTGTATTAAAAAGAATTTAGTAATATTTTACTTGTAAAAAAGGTAAGGAAGGTGCGTTCCGCAATGTTAATTTTGCCATGACACCACTGCGTGACAGTCGACATAAAAGATGAAATAATACGTGACATTTGACATAGATCATGACATCTGACATAAGATGTGACATAATATGTGACATTTGACACAAAACCTGACATAATATGTAACATTTGACATCAGAATAAACAACGGGCAAAAAATCCAGAGTAAGATCTTCAGCACGATGGTCGGACCAAATAAAAATAAAGTATAAGTCGTATTATACGTATATCGAATTTTCAAAATTATTGTGTTCTGATTTATAAAAGAAATATATATATATATATATATATATATATATATATATACGCCGGTATTTAGGCATAACGCCCTTCCGATAGGGATCTATGAAGGAGTATCACCGAGCCGCAAGCCCTTATCTCTTGCCGAACTGCTACAACATAGCAACCGATCAGACATCAGTATATTCTGATCTAAGCCGCAGATTCATATGGAATTTTAAACTGCTGCGTTAGCCTTTTTGTTTTCTGTACACCGAGCTGGGGATCGAACTCAAATCCACTGAATCACTCGCAGTGAAGCGAATGAAAAACCGGCCGCCCAGCCTGCTTGGTTATTTGACCGGCTAAAAGAAGTAATTTATAAAAATAAGTATCGTATAACATGTGTTCTGTTACGTATCGTGAAACAGATTCAAATTATGTTTAAAAAGACACCTCAAATAAACATTTCACTATATAATTTGTGTTTTATGCACAGCAAGATATAAAAAGTTTTAACAAAGGTATTTTATTTTTGTCTCTTAATTCGGTAAATTAGGAAAATAAATTATTGGTCTAAAGTGAAAATGAGATATTTGAATTAATTATAAACGATTCAATTTCAATAATAATAATTTGACTTAAAATATCCTTTAATTTTGAATTTTAACTAATTCCCAAAAATCTATTTTAACCTTGTATTAAAAGCCAACATCCGTTTTTCCTTGTGAAAATGCAACTTAATTGAAGATTCGCATAATCCCGGTCAGGGCTTGTAAACGTAGACAGCCACTTGTTTAATGAAAGTCCCAAGAGAGATGGTATTAGCATGCCAGAGACCAGGCTAGTTGAGCTCGGCCTCTTCACTATCCAGAACTATCCATGTTTTAAACCTCTGAATTAAACCGTACGGGGTTGTATTTGCCGCTGAGAAGAATGCTCTAAATGGTAATTTAGTGGGTGCAGCAGAGACGCGTAATAATTGTGGTGTTTAGTTTGTGTCAAAATGACGAAAAAAAAATGCGAGAGTGGAGATTTTTGTGAAATTTTTAATGGCTGTAAAGTCGCAAAAGTTAAAAATGCATTTTAGGACATGCGAGAACATATGTGTAAGAAGCTAGTAAATCAACAAGTAAATTTTTTAAATACTTTTTTAAAATATTAATTTTATTAATGATTATACGGAGACTAATTTCCTACTAGCCCTTTCGAGTTTTTCTGATAAACCTTTTGTGTTGTTTTCCGAATTATTTCTTGTCAATATTTCAGAATATTTTAAAAATATATTAAACTAAATGTCTGTAATTTTAGATTATTTTAGAATTAATTTAGAAATACAGGGAGAACAACGGATTGAACCAAAATTTTTAAATAGAACACCCTGTATATTAAATCATTTCTAAAAGGTTTTTTAAAATTATGAAAAACATTTTTATTGAGAAACATGGTAGAATTTAAAGGGCTGTGGGTTAGGATTCGAAGGTAATAAAAATGTAAATTACATGTCAAAGTTTTTCTACTGTAGTGTTAATTTGAAATAAAAAAAATTTGTTTAAAATCCTTTATAAAAGGTATATAAAAATGCCTCAAACGGGCTATCACAAACACATTGCAAAACGTTTTCGGATTAAACAATCCATCATCAGTGCAAACGGTTGTACATGCTAGTAGCCACCAAAATATATGGGTAAAAACCCTTTAAATGTTTTAAATTTGAAGTTGTTTTACATTATTAGTATTTATAATTTGTGATGGTTAAGTTACCGTTGGATAGGTAACATGGCGGCGTATGACTCTACATGAGTAAAATGGTCCTGAGACGAAGTGTCTACGAGGACCTGTTGATAACAACTGTTATCAACAGGCAAAGAGATTTTGTACACGAATTTGTATATGTGTTATGGGTTTGTAATTCTTATACAATATTCTTAATGTAAAAAAATTGTCTATACCACCGTATCTAATCCAACTGTAGCTGTAGTTATTATTTAACACACGTCTTACGTTTATTGTGCGATGCGGTGATACTCCCTTATTTTTAAACCACATACTACATATAATTCACAAGTGAACATACTTTAACAACCAAGACAACTCATCTGTAAAAACCTATGATATTCATCGCCCCGTTTGAAAAAATAAGGTCCAGTAGCATATGATCCAACAATATTTCTCTAAATATTCAACGACTACCTATTATGGGACGTAACTCGAAATAGGTGAAGATTTTCTTGGAATTAATAAAAAAAAATTATGTCTGTGAACGAACCCATTGCGATGAAATATGTATGATAAAAAATAAAATATTTTCCAAAACATTTCGACTTAACGTTTCTTCCACCTTCTTACAAAATTAATTTTTCTTTCAAAATAATGTTCATTTAATTTGCTCAATTGGCGCGTATGTATATGTAGATCCTTTATTAAATGTACCATAATTCGAAATCAATTCACATCCCTAAAACAGTTTTAGATATTAGTAGTTTTATGTATTGCACATTGTCCGAAAGAACGAACCAATTTAAAAGTTTTTTTCGAAGGTTTTTTTCGGACTATAAACGATTAAATCTAACGGTAAATATTCAAATTTGTTACAAATATGCAGCTACAACATTATTACCAGTTTTTGCGACACAACTAGATACTATTTATTTTAATAAATATTTTGACACATACAAATATTTTGACACTATCAGTTGCAAAGCTGTATTGATTAAATTTACAAATATGATAGATATTATTTTGTAGCATGATGAGTTATTCAATTCAACTAATTTTTACTAGCATAGATTTTTTCTAATCATGCATATTTTGAATTATGTTTTTAGATGTTAAAATAGATTATAATTTTTTAAATTTTGTTTATTTTATTTTAGTAGGAATAAACAATTTATTATTATTATTTTTTTTTAATTCAAATTACATGTCTCGGCTGCTGCGGCTATTGACACGAGGGACTGTATTACAGAATAACAATAAATTAAGTTACATTGATTCAATAAATTTCAATATAGATGATATAAAAAAAATAAAAATTTAGCAGATGATTACAAAATTGAAATATAGATAGATGATACAATTACAAGTGATATAATTTACAGTTTTTAAGGAACTCTATCACATTAGACATATTGTTTTTAGATTTTAAAATATACACATAAACTTCCGTGGATACCATGTTTGATCCGTGCTGCTGCGTACTGATTATATTCCACAAGTATATGGAGTACACTTAGACGGGAGTTGCAATATTGTCAGTTTGGGGGCTCTTCAGGAACCATCAGATATCCGTGGGTTAGCCGGGTGTGCCCAATTTTGAGCCTTCTAATGATGGTCTTCGATTTTCTTACCATTGTAGCAATTCTAGGTCCTAAATTGTTTAGTTGCATGGGTTTTAGTTGGGTAGTGCACCTGTTCCATTGATTTTGCCACA